GAGAATAATTTTTTAGTTTTAAAATATCAGCTCTCAAGTTTTTTGTTTTATAACCAAGGTTTGCATTTCACTTATTTCTGGAGTAGCCTTACACTAATTGTAAAAAAAGAGGTCTTAGAAAAATTAGGTCTCTAAAAAAAAATAAAAAAATTATATTGCTTTGCACAACTTGCATCTTTATAATCAATACTTTCAAAAATGGAAATATAATTTACTATACAAAACATTGAAAATATAATTTCTATATTAATTATAATAGTTTAACTTAACATTATTACTTAATGTCTATTAATTAAGTATTGTTTCAAAATATTGGTTGCATACTTAAGTATTAGATTGCATGCTCAATTACTGTGTTAAAAAATAAGAAACTAAAATGCAAACTTCTTTGAAAAAATAGTAAAAAATCTACTTTATTGAAAAAAGCTCAAAAAAAATAAATAACCAAATATTACTAAAATTGAAGTTTGTATTATTTAAATAAAGAAAGTAAAATATTCATCAATTTTCACTGACAGAGTAAAAGCTGTTCAAATAGAGTTTCATTTTCTTTTGAGATACGGTACTGACAACCAGAAGATGTTGAAGGCGTTTTAACAAGAGAAATGACTTCACCCAACAATTATCGTCTCGTTTTGGCCAGTAGTACGACCGACTTGGACAATGCAGATGCATAAACTTTACCATAAAATTATCATTCTCTTTATCAATTTCAGAAACCATGCCAAGCCAGTAAAAATTGTCGTATTTGCAGAATAGGTATTTGACATCATAACATTGTCAAATTTATTAATTTCATATTTTTGTTTATTGAAGTCAAATGTTAGAGCAAATCATCATTATCGGATACCCTTTTCATTTTTATAATTAAATGAGAAGAAGGTATAAATTGATGGAAACTTTTTGTCCCAGGAATAGTGGTTGCTATTAAAAGTCTACCACTTAGTTTGATTCTCACTAGCTCCATCTCTTCAGCAGATTATTATGATTTGAGTTTAAATTAATATTTATGATAACTTTGCTTCTTTTTTTTTTTTGGTTTAAATTGATAAAGTTTTATTTTATCAATTTGACTTTTTATTTGAAGTTAAACTTTTATAAGTTCTAAACACAATTACTTTATAACTTTTTTTTTAACGGCGTTTTTCAACCGAATTCTATTATACTTTTTTTACATAACTAAGTAAAAAAACTTGATTAAAACTTAACTTTTTAATCACTACTTTTTTTAAAAAACAATACTCAAAAATCCAAGTAGATATTTTAAAGTTGTTGTTATGACATACTAACGTGATTTTTGAGTCTCAATGCTAAAAAAATAAAATCAAAATGGCGTTGTTTTTCAGTGATTTCGGTGATTACTTTTTGTTGCTATGCATTTATTACTAGCAGTAAGCAACCCGTAATATGCGTTGTTAGTAAATAAAATTAAAAAAAAAAAACGGGTATAGAAAAGCCTAGAAACTACTTTAAAATAGAAAATGACGTAACTCGACTAATAATAATAATAATAAATTAGCGTATTCATATTATCAGATTACTATTTAGTGAAAAAAACTTACATTTTTTTAAATGCTTTTTCATATGAGATCATATGTTAGGAACACTTAGGGATCCTTTTAAGTTGGTAATTTTGTATATTGACCCATCAAAAATCAACTTTTTATATCTGCAAACAATTTTTTAGGTTTTTTAGGCAGCCATTATGGATGAAATGTGACATTAAAAAATTTAATGTCAAAGTTTTAACAAAGTAAGCCTACAGTTGTACTGTCAACTGGGGTTACTTTGATAAGTTTTTAAGCTTTTTTTAAAAGTGCTGATAGAATTTTAATGAATTGCTGTTGTTTTTGGTTTAAATATACCAAATGATCTATCCTTAAAAGGAAAAAATGCTTTTTAGAAATATCAGAATTTGTCTTGTATTTGTTTTTAAAGCCCAAACAGTTATCAATGTAACCCCCGCATGTAGGGGTTACTTTGATAGTAAATGCAATTTCAATCAAATATCAAGTTAACTTATCACAGGGTTTCATTGATAGTTTTTTAGGCTTATAAAAAAGATTTATAGACCTAGTACACCTAATACTATCCAAAAAATTACAAAGTTGGTTGAAAAAATGTCAAAAAATATTAAACTATATCAAACTATATCAAACTCAAAATTCTAAATTATCAAAAGTTTTTGATTTTAGTTGATGACTTGGTGAGACAGGTATGAGAACCGATATTGATCCCTTGTTTTTCTCGGTTTATCTGAAATTCTTTCAACTGCAGCAGAATATGGAACAGGAATATTCATCCATATCTTCCTTACTTTCCGTAAATTTGAAGAATTTACTAGCTGGTTGTTTTTTCAAAAATTTAATATGAAGCAGTTTTATTTTCTCAAACACTTCAACAACTTGACCAATGTAATTGTCAACAGATTTCTTTCCGGTGTAGGCTACAACTACCCATTGCTTCGGTTCAAATGGAATGTCAGTTGTTTTATCAGCTGATTCCAAAGAGTCTTCACTGTCATCTTGAAGTTCCATTTCAATTTCAGAATCATTATCTGAAGATGTTGAAGACTGGATTTTTTTATTAGATCGTTTTTTTTTTTGACAACCAATTTTGTACAAGTACCACTACACTGTGTTCCTTTTTTTGTTTCTTTGATCACACTAAGATCATTTGATGTTATTTCTTTACCAGGAATTATCTTTTTTCCTCTCTTCTGTGTTTGTTTGTCCGGTATTTTGAATCCACAATGATCTTTTAGCATTTCCTGAACAACCTTGCCAAAGATTTCTTTAACCTTTTTACCACCAACATCTTGATTCTCATTTGGCAGTCTTTTCAAGACTTCATCTCTGTTTAGTGGAGATATTCCGCAAGCCGAAAAGCCAGAAATCAGGTTTTGTTATTTTAGTCTTCGATGCAACTTCAACAATAACACAGGAAAATGTTGTCTTTGGTATTGTACCTTTGATGCGACTTTCTTTTCACCAACATTCTATGATTCTCTTCCACTCTTTCTTCATGGATCTAAAAACTGTGACATCCATTGGTTGAAGGAGATGACTTGCATTTGGTACCAAACAGGTGAAACGAATGTTATTCAATGACTGGAAGAGAAAAACGAGAGGCAAGATTGTCACTAATGATGACTTTTGGTCCATGATCTTTACTAACGTTAGAAAGAAATATTTCTAGAAACCAGCATTCGAAGGTTCTTGAGTCAAACCAGCCTGACTTTGTGTTGTCATAACAAGTGTCTTCTGGGCCACCTCTGGTCCATTCTTGATAAACACTTTGAGACTTATATACTACCATAGGTGGTAGGAATACTCAATAGCATTTCCACAATACATGATGCTTACACAACTCTTTGAGTGTTGCATTTTGCGTTCGTCTCTTTTAAGTCCTCGTCTGCATATGATCAATTTTGCGCCAGGGTCATCTGAAAGATTAGTCTCATTATAGTTATAAATTTTACAGGATTCAACGCCTTCTAATGTCTTCGTTAATTCATCGAAGTAACCGTTCACAGTTTGTCCACAAACCTCTGCGCGTGAATGTTTTACATTTTCAGCAATGCGTGTTGTCAGCTTATGGCGTTTGATAAAACTTAGCATCCAATCGATCCCTGGTAAATTGTTGTTAAACTGTCTATTTTTAACACCGGAGTGATCGAGATAATGTTTGACCATTAAACATATCTAATCCATCAACAGGCATTTTCCAATCACAAAGAACGTTTATTACCTTTAAAAGGTGGCTCTCGCAATTTAAAATAGTGCAACTGGATGTCCAACTTTTTTTCCATGTTTACCCTTCATTCTGTTGTGCAATGTACCATATGGAATTTTAAATTTTTTAGATGCTTTTAGCAAACTTATAGTACCCTTCCGGCAACATTGAACAGCTGACAACTGAGTTTCTAAATGTGAATAATAAGCACGACTCCGGTCCTTCCTCTTGTAGATCCTCATATTACGGATAGGTAGGTATGTACATATAGGCATATAAAAAAACATGTTTTTATTGTTTTTTGTTACTGTTTAGAATACGTTTTTTACACTCTTTTACAAAAAAGTTACAAAAAACTTGGAAAATTTTATTTTATTTTTAACAATTTTACTATGTTTTTTACCTTTCAAATCAGTTTGGTGAAATCTTTGTAAACTTTTGATTAGTTTTTATTTATTTTCAACTTGAAAATAGAAAAGATAGTAAAATAGTATTAAAAATATACTACGATAATATACTGAAAAAGTAATTCTAAAATAATTATCAATGTTACCCGAGGTATCAAAGTAACCCCAGTTGATGGTATATAATAAAAAAATTAGGTTTTCTGATTTTTTTTAAATACAGAGCTTCAAAGTATGAACAAAACATGTTTTTGCTAATGAAGTTTTAATTTTCGGAAAAATCAGAAATTTAAAAGTGCAATATCTCATGAACCATAAATGATTTTAAGCTGAAATTTTCAGGAATTACTTTTCTCATTGATATAAACCAGCCCACCAAGTTTTATCAAAATCTGAGGGGGTCCATTTTAGACCCTGGTTCACTTGGCATGGAATGACCCAAATGCTTTTGCTCTCTATTTGATTAATTAATTTATGATTCTAAAGTTTTTCCATTTATGGTATCGAATTTCTCAATGTTAACAGAATTGTTATACAACTTTAATATACATCAGCTAATCTCTGATATTGAATTAGTTATTAAATTAGTGTTTACTAAATGAAAATTTTGAAAATTATTATTTATGTATATATATATTTTTTAGCCATAATTAAAATGTGTTTATAAATTTTTGTTGTTTTATTTGTATATTCAATGAATAATAATTGCATAATTAATAAATGCAATAATTAAAACCCAAAAAAATAAAATAAAATATATTATATATGAATTTCATATATAATATATTTTATTTTATTTTTTTGGGTTTTAATTATTGCATTTATTAATTTTTTAATAACTTTAAAAAAATTTATTTATAGATAATCGGTCAAGAAAAGTTAAAGATTTAGTTATTCTACTCAAGGAAATACAATGCTTTGATGCTGTCAAACTGCTAGCACCTTATATGCACTATATTGGTTTACATATTTTTTTATAAATATTTTCATATGTGTGTACTTATATGATGCGTGTTTAGATGTACACTATTAATCATGTCTGTAATTTATGCACATATAATACATATATGCATAAATTAACCATATTATCACTATTATTTTTATTATTATTAAAGATTATAATTTAAACTTTAATAATTTAATTTATTTTTATAAAACATCAGAAAAAACTAAAAAAAATAAAGCGCGATAAAGTGTATATATATATATTAAAATATAAATATTAAAAAACATGTGCTAATCACAACAATCTAAATAACTTTAACAGTGAATATTTTAAATAAAAGAAATTGTTAAATATGATATAAAATACTTTTATATCTTATTCAAATCTCATTCAATATTTTTTTTATAAATTTAACGCTTGTAACACTTTATCTGATACGAAGATAAAATTAAAAGACGGAGGAGTTTATGTTTTATATAATGCCCAAGTAGCTTTAGCATACTTTTTAATTGGTTGGTTTTTTTATACAAAGTTTTATACAATGCGCAAATAGCTTAAACATAGTTTTTGATTAGTTGATTTTTAAATTACTGCGAAAGTTTTTTGGACCTTCAGTAATAATAATTTTTGTCTTGCAACTTTTTTTTATTTATAATCCTTAAATTACATATTATTAATTATTGTTTAAAAAAAAAAAACTAAGAGTATGTAAATTTTGACTGTTATTATTTTTGCAGTTGTAAATTTATTGTTTTGCTTTTTCATTAATTTTTGCAAAATGATAAACTGACCGTTTCAATAAAACAGTGTTAACGGTTTTTAAAAAAACTAAGAATTTAATGACCACAGATATATATATATATATATATATATATATATATATATATATATATATATATATATATATATATATATATATATATATATATATATATATATATATATATATATATATATATATATATATATATATATATATATATATATATATAGATATATATATATATATATATATATATATATATATATATATATATATATATATATATATATATATATATATAGATATATATATATAGATATATATATATATATTAGACTGCTTCATTTTAAGGTCATGAAAAAATTTAAAGTTCCATGGAGTGTTATCTGCTGCGCCGACCCATATTTATATTAGTATAATTTTTTTTATTTTAAATATTGATCAGTTTTAGGGGTTGCTCAAGTGCCTCAATATTCATGTTTTAGGCTTTTTACTCTTTTTTAAGTCCATTTTTCGCATGTTTAAGCAAGTACTGAAACTCAAAAAAAAAAAATATTTAGAATAAAAAAATTAAAATGCATGGTAATTTTATTTTTTTGAAATAATTTGTGTAAATTTATCTACAAAAACACAAAGTTATGCAGATGTTTACCGATTTTTACGCAATGCAATATCTTTATGGATATGTTAATTATCATTATCATTATGAAAAAAAAAAACCAATTATGTTGCATGAAACATCTGTGTATAGCATTAAAGGTCTATAAAAACTTTATTATATTTCATAAAACTTTTATATTACTATAAATTTTAAATTGCATATAAACGAAAAAAAATCTTGATATAGTGCATAAAACATCTAGCAATTTTGTTTAACAAATTTGTTTATAATTGCTTTATTTTTTTAAAATGTTATATTTTTAAATTGTTTTTATCTTTTTCTTGGATTTCTTAGTTTTTCCTCCATACTTTCTTTTGTAATTATGCAATAATAAAAATGAATCTTGTGTTTTCTCTTCTTTTTAGGAAATATCAATTTTTTCTTTTAATAGTTTTTACAGTTCTTTCCGAGCAATCATTAACAACTGAAAGATTAAAAAATGCCTCCTGAAATTTAAGTAGAAATTGTTGCAAGTCCAATATTCTGGAGGGGTTTTCATCCATAGACAGTCACTTTTACTTTGGCCTATCATAAGGAACAATAGCCACGAATTTTCTGTGACCAAATGAACTAAGTTAAAGTGAATAAACGTTATTCACTTGCCAAAGTGCTCTCATATCCTGGGTAAAACAAAAAACTGTTAACCCTTCTTTTAAAAATAATTATATTTTAGATACTTTTCATAACTATCAAAACTTTTTATTCAAACTAGAAACCTTTTATATATTATATTATAATTACATATATATATATATATATATATATATATATATATATATATATATATATATATATATATATATATATATATATATATATATATATATATATACATGAAACATGTCTTGATAAATAAAATTTTAAATAAAATTAAAAACTTATGTCTTATTTTTAAAAGTAATATATATATATATATATATATATATATATATATATATATATATATATTACTTTTAAAAATAAGACACAAGTTTTTAATTTTATTTAAAAT